ATATTAAAGATTGACATGCAAAATTTCCTGACGATCGGTGAATAAGATTCTCTCGATTTGATGCCCCGACATAAGCAACTTATGATGTCTTCAGCCTCAGCATTCTGGAATTAAATAAGAGTACATGGAGTTCAGAAAGATACGATCTTCAAACTTTGCTAGCCGCCAAATCAACAGCATCCGAACCAGTAGTTGGCAACTGCTGGTTCGGTAAGTCTCAGTTCAGAACTGGTTCGTCCATTGCCTAATGGGTAGTTCGGCATAATTTTATTCATAAGAATCATCTCAGTAAAAGAAGAAACAAAATAAGAAGTGGAAGCAAGAGAACCTAACCTTATTGTACTCAATTTCGTCACCGTTGAAGTGCTTTTCAACAATTTTCTTCTTGAGCTCTAATACCTTTGCCTCCAAGTCCAGATTTTTGGCTCGTTCTTTAGATAGTTCCTTTGCATTTATTGCTAAAGCAGCGTTTTTTTCTTTGATTAATTTTTGCAGATATTCAATCTTTATCGTCTGTTTTTGAATTTGGATGTCGTCACTGATTTTCAGAGCCTCAAGGTCCTTTTGTATTTGACATAATTTCGATTGAGAACTCGTGCAATCGATGCATTGAGGAGAATTGCAATCAGGTTCGATGTGGCTCTCGACTATTTCAGTGAAAATGGTAGGAACTGCATCCTTTTTCAGATAGGTCTTACTACCACGAGTTTCCAAATCGATTTCTTGAAAATGCTTTATGCAAACATTGGAGTTGCTTCGGTTATCAAACTTTTGATGCTTTTCAATTGATAAAACCCATTTTTCATGTAATTCACGGTCATGCGATGGAGCACTGTAGAGAAAAAATTGATTTATTGACGCTAGTACGAATATTTTTCATCAACCGATCAACGTATACTTACCGAAACATAAGCTGATTCAAATCATAGGTTCCTCTATTATTTTCACATGAAATAATTTGGCAATATGCTTTTATTTTTCTGGTACTCATTTTCAAAAAATTCCAAAAGCTAATAAGATGGTTTGTAATGTCGTAATGTGCAATTTTGAAATCAGAACGTTGAAACACAGTAACCCAGTAACCATAGCAAGTTTGAGTACGTGAAGGAGACGTGTTTTGGTTATGTGACAATAATCCGATAGGTGTCATACATATACAAAAAATGTTATAGATTTATGTAAAACATTTATTTTTATACTTTTTTCAGAAAAAAATCATAAAATTCTAAAATGCATGTTTAAATTTTATTTTATGATTTTATTTTCGAAAATAGTTCTGACAATATAAAATTAAATGAAATCAAAATAGAAAAAAATATGGTAACAGATGTCGCTATTTCGTAAAGCATTGATGTTCAAATGTTCGTTCGTGCAGCAGACAGCTTTGTGTTTATGTGTGAGAGAGTGAGTATTTCATCATTTCATTTACAGAGTTTCAAACGGTCAGCCGGTCAGCTACATTTTTACGAGCGTATCGGCGCATTAAAAACGCAAACACAATTTCTATCAGCCATTTGGTTTCGAATTTAACAAAAAATCATCTAAATTTATTTTGATAATCGTAGAATATTTTTTTTAATTTGATCATTTGAATAAAAAGTACAACTAAAATTCATCATGAGCGACAACGAATTTGATGTCGAGGCTGTGTTGGCTAAGCGCATTCGCTTTGGAAAGGTAAGACCACGTTTTTTTTGGTTACGGTTCCTTTTTGTATATACATTTCGCCAGCTAAGTAATAAGAATTCAGCAATTTGTCGACAATATTCCACACTCAAACCGCATCAAAGAAAATATATCTGATCCGATAAAAATGTACACTTCATTCGGTGCCTACCATCGTTAAAATATCATTCCATCATTCCTAAGCCCCGTCTGCTATTTTTCATCTATATTCACATTTCATCACCAATATTTCCGAATCATTTGACGTGGACTCGTTGAAAAGTAGAATTTATCGAATATAGTTTTATGCGTACAACGGTACAGCTGAAATGCGCTGCTAGGCGCAAAGATGAAAACAACTCCCTAATACGCAACACTTTTTCATCGACGAACATTTTTTTTTATTCCGTCAACTCGCATTTCAAATTTGAAATCGAATTGAAAATGCATTTGTGTTTCTCGACGTGAAAAAAGGGAAATCACTTTGTGAAATCTCATAACATTCTGTATCGTCTTTCCATCAATTCGCGTTTGATTTTTCGTGTTGTTTGTTAGTGACGTCAATTTCGAAACTCAAAGTTGAAATCTGTTTTTTTTTTCACCAAAAGCAATCGAAAATAAACAGTGAGCTACTTTTTGTATAACAAATTTTGTTCATCCGTTCATCATATTTTTTCTTGCATTAGGTCCAATATCTCTTGAAATGGTTGGACTACGACGAAACCACATGGGTCAATTCTGATCAATGTGATTGCGACGAATTGATCAATGATTTTGAATTAACGCAATTGACTGAATTAATTGGTAAGTAATGCGGTAGCAATCATCTCTCTGGCATCGCTTGCATGCGCATTCAAAAAAAATTTCTTTTATCGATTTAGGTTTGGCTGTAAGACCAAATGGTGTTATTTATGCTGGAAAGATCAAAAATTCCATCACGCCATTTGTGATGTTTACATCAGAAAAAGTGGCAGAAAAATCGCCGGTTGCATTGGTCAAGTACTTGGAAAGCCGCATTGTTTTCATCAACGATCCAAGCAATGTGGTTGCATCGAGCATCGAATTGGTTTCCGCGGAAATTGAGGGACAACCAGTAGAAATCTTAGGTAACATTTAATTTCTTTTTCTTTATGTATCTAATCATGTGCACCGCATTTTTCATTCAATGTGTCTTTCATTTGATATTATCGTTGCACAATTTTGCACAATGAAATCAACTTAACTCTATATTTTTCGTTCTTCAAGGTTGTACCGACGTCGGTGGATCAATCCAATATTGGTGCAAGTTTGAAAACGACGCGCAAAAGTTCGTTTCAAGTGCTGAAGCCAGAATTCAATTTCCGCAGCTCATAATCAATTTCCTGCAACGGAATATTGACCCGGCATCAAATCCCACGGTCAACAACAATCATCGCGGTAAGTGTTCTTTTTTCTATTATTACGGAGTAAAGTTCTTTTCGATTACAAATCGACACATTCATGAAAATTTTGTTTTTGCAGTGCAAACTCGTTTCATACGGCACGTGATCTCCAGCAATGTTTGCCTCAAACCAAAAGTTGTGATCGTGCGCAACATTGCTTTGGATAAGGCAATTTTATGTAAGCCCTCAAAGATCGTGGAACGCCGCCAGACCCAAGGCATGCCTATCCAAAGCACCAGTGCAGTGCAACCGTCAAAAATGGTTCAACGTCGCGCCACTGTGGATGCACCGCCGTTATTGTCAACGCCGCGACCAAAACGCATTCCGTTTGGTGCCCGAGGTCGTAAGCGACAAACATTATTGTTTGTCGGTTTACGACCAAACTTGGATGGTGCGCCACAAGCTCGACCACAAGCTGGGCCATCATCGCCACGTGGGCCATCATCGCCACAAGCTGGGCCATCATCGCCACGTGAGCCATCATCGCCACGTGAGCCATCATTGTCAACCATTTTTGAAGAACTAACTCTGCATTACTCAGACAGCGAATAAGTGCCGATCTATTACTGGTGCTGCAAATTTGACAAAAACTGTTCAAAATTGAAGCGGCGATTTTCAAAAAAAAAAACAACAGACAACAAATGTCAAATCAAAAATTCAATTAAACTCAAAAATATTTTATAAAATGAATATTTACTTTTAAATAAATAAACTTTGAAATTTTGATCATTCATGACATGTCTTTGAATTCGAACATTTTCTTGATGTTCTGGTCTATACATATGAATAAGACCGCTTTTGCCAAACTCACTTGAGGAATCAGCAGTTGCTGAACTGACTTTTACCGAACCACATACGGTTCAGCAACTGCTGGTTCGGCAAGTGCATATTTGAAGATCGCTTGAAACCAAAAAGCAGTCTATTATTAAAAATATTGAATTGTTAAAGTATAGAAGGATAAATAGAAAACATGAGATTGAAAAAGAAAGATGAAGATCCTATTTTATTTCATTTTACAATTTTAAATATTCTATCGTACAATTGTTGAATCAATTTTACAATTTTTATACAATTCAGTTTTTTTCACCACTTGACAGAAACTGCTCCAATTCAAGCAAATTCATGCCATTCAATATTTTTGGCTTTGCTGCGTTCGTTTTTGGCTCATTTTGCGCTGAAATAAGATCATGTAAAATGAGGTCAAAATAATTAATTTGATTAATTTCAAAAATTACTTACACGACATATTGTAAGAATTTGACCCATATACTGGACGAAGCTCTGTAACAAAGTACAAACGTACAAAAATTGTCATTTTAAGGCTAGAACTCTTTCAAACAATAGGTCCGTCATAATAATGGAATAGTGTTACCTTTCGCTTTTTCTTTCACCCAAATACCAACTGATAGGTACTCGTCCGAATGCAATCGTTGGCAATGTGTGAAAAAATTATTTTCAGTAGAAAATGTTTGCGTACAAATGAGACATTTCATCCTCAAAACTGTAGGTCCGTGGAGAAGTTTGTGTCTACGCAGATTCGCTTCTTTTGATTTTATTTTGCGTCCGCATATATTACACTGTGAATACTATATCACACTTCAATAATAAATGAAACGAAATGATCAAAAATATAAACATCTTACCATTTTACCTGCTTGCCGGTATTTGATCATTGTTTGATTGTTTCGTTGTTTGTAACTTTGTAAACAAAACTCGCGACACATGCATACTGACTGATGACAGATTTCACTAGAGCATCATGAAGTTGGCTCGTGAGGGAGTGCGTTTGGCTTTGCTATAAGCTATTTAATTTTTTTCAGCACTTATTTATAAAAACAAAACAAATTTCAGATGAAGTGTTGATTTTTATTATTCTATTGATGTCACATTATTTACCGTTAAATTATAAAATTTTATTTCCATAAAAACCAAATTCATATGCAATTTCGAAGACTCATTTATACACATGAGATTTCTCGGCAGTGGATAGATGGCGTTAGTGCTTCAGAATATTCTACCAAACGTCAAATTCCATATAAAAGAGTCTGTATTATTCAGACCTGTTTATAGCCGGAGAGCGCATGCACCTATGTATTTATCATACACATATGCATGTACTCTCCGACTATACATGCGCTCACATTGCGACTAATTGCGGCATTAGCCTAATTAGTCGCAATGCCATGCGCATCCACTCAGTCTCATTCGAACTCGACTCAATAAAGCACATTGAAATAGAACTCTCCTCCGGCGTTTACCACATTTTGATATTGCACACTATAATAAAAAGGCAGTCCAAGTTTTCAAAGTTTTGATAATCGTTCTAAAGCAGTTGAAATATTCACATAATTTGATAATCGATCTATGGTCGTCGAAATATGGTCCAGAATTAGGTGAAAAAACAAGGGAAAGCTAATTCATACAGTGAAAGTGAACATATGTCCAGTAGATTTAGTGTATGGAGAATAACAAAAAGTTTAATCGCTTCAACAGTTTATGGGCGAAACTCCAACGTATAGCTAGGGCATTCACTTACAAACCTGAAACGATTTAGTGATACAAACATTCAAATCAAAAGAGAAATTGAATGTATCGCAATAGTTCGAAGAATAGTGGTGACAATAAAAAAAAAACGGTGACGTGCACACGGGGAAGAGAGTGAAGCAGAAAAAGACGAAATAATTCAAAAAAAAAATCAGAAAATTGCGTGTATTTGGTGCATCCAATTATAACAGAAAAACACATAGGAGCAACAAAGGCAAAACTGCACGCACGCAAATAATTTATACGAAGAGACGGAATAATCAGCACCATACGAGTGAGGTACACAGAGAAGCGTTTACCGAGAAGTAGTTCGACACCGCAGCAGCGACCGTGGGACAGCTAAGCAGAGTAAAAAGCCGTGAGAGCATCAGCAAGTGAGATCATTGGCGTATATATATAGAGCACCTTAGTTAGCACAATGTAAAAAGAATCCGATGCAAAAAAAATTTCTGTTCATTTTTTCTTCTCTACTCTCTGAAGTTTTTTCCTCGCGAACCAGTACGGTAATGATTTTTTTTTAGTAAAACCAAAACATTGAGCAGATCAGCAATAACATTGAGTAATGTTTTAAGTTTTAATTTGAATTTGAACACTCACAAAGACAAATAGTTTTGATTGATGGATTCAACGAAATTTGTTTACGGAAAGTGGAGAATGGAATCGGGTCACTTTAAAGAAATTTCTATCGTTTGCTGATTTCTATAGAAACAGAATCGGGAATTACATTAACATAAGTCGTCCGTTACGAAACCTGGTGCAAAATAAAAGCGAATTCGTATGGAATTGCGACAACTCATTTAATGAATTGAAAACGATACTTATGAACGATGACGAGGCAAGTTCTCAGCTTCAGTATTTGAATGAAATGTATGGTTGGTTTTGAGATTTTTATGGACACATATTGAGCATTTCTGAGTCACAATTTGTCTGCGCGGCATTTTTACACAGCTGATTGAGTTTTTACACATTTATTTTGTTTTCGTCTCGTTGTTGAAGCAAACATTTTGAGAGCAAATTATTCAGGCCGTCCATTAGTAAAACGCTTTGAATTGGTATTCAAATCGATTTTTGTACACTTTTCAATTATTTTTCGGACGCATTACACATTTAATCATAAAAATGGCCGAAGGTGGAAAGTCAAAAATGGATCTTTTTCGAGAGAATTTACAAGCAATTTCGGAGATTTTGGAACAAAATAAGAGCAGCGATCAGCAGCAAGCCGTGAATTTGAATCAACTCGGACAATTGGGCGAACAATTTAAAAAAGTATTCACAGCGTCAATGGATTTATTCAAATATGCCTGGATAAAATGCAAGTGGAGATAAACGCAATCGCACGCTATGTTAACCACCGAAATGAAAATATCGAGAATGAGCATATTTTTCAAGGAAACGATCACCAAATGAGGCAGAATCCATTTTATCATCAACGCGAATTGAACGAGGACGAGGATCAGCAACCGATGAATCGCGAAGTGCATGCACCAATACAAGCACCATTACAGCGCGATAACGTGGTAATCGCTGACGCATTTACACAGATGATGGACAGTCAACGGCATCATAGAAATTTGGAAAAATTTGAAAGAAATTTGGATAAAATTGTAACTTTCAACGGAGAATCATTTGATAATCTCCAGAAGTTTTTAACCACAGCGACGATAGCCCAAAGCAAAATAAGAACTGCTGAGGAAGAACAGATGTTTTTCGACGAATTGAAAAGAAAATCAAATACCGAGGTTCTGGGTATCATCACTGAATGCGATCGCGATTGGAATGAAATCTCTGAAAAAGTTGCAACGAAATACCATTTCTTAAAAAAAGAATACGGATCTTTTGCGTTCGCAAATTGATAATCTAAAACAGAAGAAGAACGAATCCATCCACGAGTACGGTGAACGTGCTAGAAAGTTGGTGCAGGACAGAAGCGCATTGTACATCAATGATGAAATGCGATTGGAAATTTCGAAGGGAGCTGCGAAATCATTCAAAAAGGGCATATCAGATTCAAAGATAAAAAATATCATCATGAACAGAGCGACGCGAGACATCAACGAAGCAATACGTGAAGCGATGGAAATCGAATCTGAAGTCGCGGACAGCTCACAAATCAAGGCAGAAGACATGTATTGTAGGCTTTGTAAAAAAACCGGCCATATTTTTGATAATTGCAGAAAAAAGCCAGAAGGGGGCGACGATATCGCTCGAATAGTAAATATTTTGGGCGCAATAGGAGTGAATTCGCAAAATAATCAAAATAACAATGGACAAAACCGTAACAATCAAAATCAAAATGGTCAAAACAATAATCGAAATGGCAATAATAACCGCAACAATGGAAATAACAATCGACGAAACAACAACAACAACAACAACAACAACAACAACGGCGGAAATGGTAATCGCAATGGAAATGGCCGGAATAATTACAACAATAATGACGGCGGATACAACAACAACAACAATCGTCAAAATGGTCAAAATCAAAATGGCCAAAATCAAAATAATTTTAGCCAACAATCGAATAATTATCCACAAAATTTCTATCATGATCAAAATCCACAGCAAAATAATGGAAATAATCAACACCAAATGGGTGCATACGCATTGAACAACGCGCAATTTCCACAAATGCCAAATGTTGCAAACAATTTTCGGGGTAACAACAATTCTGCGGAAAACTAGTTCGGATGGGTTGTGACGCCCAACATAGCTCATCCTACCGTCGTGAAGAAAATACTGAAATTTTGAACGCACATTTCCGAAGAGAAAAGAACAATGAATCAGTATTATCGGGCCTACAGGCGTTACAAATTTGTTCGATCAAGTCGGCTACTCCGATAATTCAAAACATTATTATAGAAGGTGGAGCAGCATTCGCCATTTTGAACATAAGCTTTACTTAGAGCAGTTAAGTTATTAATAGACACGGGTGCATCCCTAACAATAATTTCAGTTAGGTTAATTAAAATGAACACATTTATTCAAAATCATCGTATCAATCTGTATGGTGTTACGGGCACGGACAACAAAATCCTTACGGAGGGCATTGCACACGGTGTTGCCAATTTCGGGGACAATTCAATGGGCATTGCTCTTCACCTGGTTGATGAGAAATACGCGGGCAGTGCAGACGGCTACCTTGGATTTGACTTTTTATATCAATACCGAGCGATGATTGATATTGCGAATAAAAAAGCCTCATTCTGAAGTTTTAACGGATAAAAAAGAGTGTGAGAATAAAAGTAAGGTCGAAAATGCGACTAATCAGCCTCTATATAATGTAAGGGTCATGGAAGAAGAACCCGTAAATTACATTAACAATATCGGCGCCGAAATATCTAGTATTAATATGAATCAGATGAATGAATGTATGAATGTAAATGAAAGTGAGAAATTGGAATGTTTTGATGAATGCGAAAGAGAAATGAGAATTTATCAAATTCTCGAAGACAATAATGTCTTCTATGGAACCGGAGGGCTAGTAATCCCGAAGAAGGTTTTCCACGTAGCTTATAGGCTACATACTTTTAGGAGTGCTGATCGAATGAATGTTATGAATGAAACGAATGATTTTTCCGCAAGAGATTTTTGTCCAGAATTGTTTACCAGCAAAAGAGCGAGAAACATTTTTATAAAACTAAATTTGAAGCATTGCACAGTTCAAGAAAAACAGATGGTGGCTCAGTTATGCAACGAGTATCAATTTCAATTTTACATCGACGGTGATACCTTAAGTTCCACGAATGTCACACAACATAAAATCAAATTGTTGCCGGGAACAAGCCCAATTAAGGTGAAACAGTTTAGAATTCCGCTAAAAATGAGGGAAACATTGGATAAAATGATTGCAGATTTAGAGAGACAGGGCATAATTGAAAAATGCCAAAGTCCATATAATTCCCCATGCTTTTTAGTACCCAAAAAGCGAGAAGACAGCGACGCAATCGAACAAAGATTAGTGTGTGATTACAAAAAGCTGAACGCAGTTACTGAAATCAATCATTTTCCTATCCCTCTAATTGACGACATTCTGAACAGTTTGCATGGAGCAAAAATTTTCACTACATTGGATATTAAGGGCGCGTATTACCAAATCGTTATGGACGTGAATTCAAGAGATTTAACCGCCTTCACAGCTGGAAAATATCAATACAGATGGTGTAGAATGCCGATGGGACTGGGAACATCAGCTCAGACCTGGCAA